AAAAGTAAGGAGTAGAGGTCCCATCCGACCCCCTTATTCCCCTTGGGGATATCTTCCTGGAAGAACTAAAAACACCTACCCATGTTTATAGCAGTACAGTTTGTAATAGTTAAATCTTTTTGGGAGGGTTGGTGAGGTACCAGGGATTGAACTCACGACCTTGCACTTGGCAGAGAGATGCTTACACCCCTGAGCTATAGTTAAATTTTGAAGAAAATCCAAATACCCATCAACTGAGAAATGAATAAATAAGATGTATTATTTTTATACAACAGAGTACTACTAAGTCAAAAGGAGGATAAATTTAAGACTCGTATAAGTAAATGGATGCAGCTTGGGACCATACTCAAAAGTGACACAAATCAGACTCACATGGGTAAAAACTGTATTGGCTTCCTAGTGTGAGAAACTGGAAGAATAAATAAGTTCTAAAATGTACAATAGATATTGTGAACGGCAAGAAATTGTTTAAAAGGGAAAAGGAACTAAGATGGACAAAAGGAAAAAAGGTAAAAGGTAGAAAAATTCAAGTTAGCTATTCTATTAATGTCTCTAGTTCACTAAAAAAGAAGTTTCATGCTAATAGTGATTAGAGAATTTTTATACCCATATCTTATACTCTTAAGTAACTACTTTGAGGATGACAATATGCAATTGTCTAAAAAAACTATTTTTTTTTAGTTAAAAAGGTTGAATGAAAACCTCTATTACAAAGACTATCAATAAATTAAAAGTTTATGTCACCTACCAAAACATCTAAACTGAAAAAGATTGACTGTTAAGTTCAGAGCTCAATTTTAAAAGGCAATTTGCTTCTCAACTGTAGATAAAATTTCACGTACTTGGATCAAAAATACTATGAGAACAATAAACCAAAGTTGCAAAGTGTAACAGCAGAAAAGACCACTGACACCCAAACCTTTGAGTGCAGATGTCAGTCCTCCTTCCCCCAAACCCTCTCTTCATTGTCAAAACAAAATAGTGATTCATTGCAGCTTCTTTTCTCTTTTCCCCAAACTCCCCTGCCTCAGAAACTTCAAACGTGGCCTGTGGCCCAATGTCAAACCACCTAGAAGAAAGTAGTAAATTACAACTCTTTATTTGTTAGACTATGAATATCTTAAAAGCTGAATAATCCCATTATTCAAACAGTAAGTACTTTACAAGTTTACTGAATGAATGAGAACAGAAAGTACCATGGACTTAAAAATGTATACAGGTGAACATGCTTAATCCAAAAATGTAAAGATCAAATTGCTCCATCTGAAACTTTTTTTATTTTATATTTTTGGATTAGGCATATCCAACTGGTAAAGTCTATACAAACATTGTAAAATTTGAAGACAATCCAAAAATCTCTGAAAGCTATAAATATTCTGGTCCCAAGTGTTTCCGATAAAGGAGATTTGATGTATTGTATAATTCTTTCCCCCCAGGAGTCCTACACTCCAGTACTCAAGACTGAATCTAAAGGTCTTTCCTCTGACCTACATCCCCAGACCTTTTGCTTTTATTTTTCATATTTGAGACATGGATTCACTAAGTTGCTAAATTTCCCAGGCTCGCTCAAATTTAAAATTATCCCACCTTGGCCCTGGATAGTACTGGGATTATAGGCCTGAACAACCAAGATTTAAAATGAGTACGGGAGAGATTAGATAAAGCATCTCTGGTGTCAGCATAACATGATGACTAAATGTGATGACACTAGTTCTCTTATAGGTTTAGAATCAAGTCATACCTAATCCTCTCATGCTTTCATTCTTCAAAAATGTTTACAAAGACCCCCATTCTTTATCAAGTATATTTGTTAGAGGAGAGGAGCAAAAATAACCATAATGCACATGACTGACACCAGCAAGTCGCTGTTACGGTTACTGTCTGATAATGCTATCAAGAATAGATACATACTTGACACTTAATAGCGCTTTCACCTACTTCTCTTGGCAGTTTCAGCATCTGCAAGTGAACATAACTATAGCAAACTTTCACTAACAGAACCACCTATAAAGGGTCATACGAGAAAGGTCTTGGAATATACAACTTCCCTATGAACACACAATATTGATGCGTTATAAATCTGTAGTTTAAATATGTCAGGTGTTCTCTGATTTTAAGTGTTTTTATGAGACCCAAACAGTAAGTGCTTTATAAAATGCTGAATGAATCCTGAAAACCAACTCCAAACAATATGAAGGAGGACCATTTTAAAGGGAAATGTAGTTCTATATATTTTAAATAGTCATAGGCAAATGAGAGTTCAAATTTCTAATATGATCTTTCTTTAGGTAGAATTTATCCTTACACAATTTTCTATTCCTGTAGCATGGATCATTTTCATATAAGTCCGATTTTTGGTAGTTACAAAATAAAACAATATAATACTGTGCACGTTGATTTCCAATGCAGTGCTCTTTATCTCATTTTCTTTTTCTAAATGACACAAAATGAAGTAATCAAGATAGGTCATGCTCAATAAACTATTCAACTTATCTCTTCCAGTTTCTGTCCCTATATCCATTCAGGGAAACTGCAACACACCTGAGAATACTTTCAACTTAGTTGTTTTTATTTTTTTTTTTCTAAATTCCTTCAAATAGTCTTTAGTGATGGGATTTGGAAAGACAATAGGAACCAATGGGGATAGTGAATTTTTTAAAATAATACGAAGAAAGAAAAGCAGAAAGGGAGAACATGAAGTCTCATTTTTATATGGCCTTTAAGAGCCAGACTAGAGAACTTTGTTGAACATGAAGTAGAATATCACAAGATACACTCTCTGGATAAATCCTCTCGAAAAAGAGGTAACAAGGGCCTTACTAGAATGCACAGCACTATTAAAGATTCTCTTTAATACACTTCTACGACAGAGTGCATGTGCTTCTATTTGCTACCAATGTATGCTGTTACGTGGCCCGTCCACATCACTACAAAGCAATGCTCACTGCCAGCCACATCTCAATAGCTTCTTTTCATTCAGTCTCAAGCAGTCTGCAATCCTCTGCAAGACTGATCAAAAACATCTCTTTTTTAAGGACAACTGGTTTGGTTTGGTTTTAGTAGGGAAAGAACTGAGGACAACTGAGAAAACACAGAGTGAAACAGGGTTTCAGATTCATGTTGCTATTATTAATACTCGTTTAACTCTTCATTATATGCATTAAACAGTCTATTATTTGACTAAAGGAGAAAATAGAGACTTGGGATCTAGAGAATGACATTTAAATATGTACAAAAACTTAATAGTTAACTTTCATGGTGATACAAAAATAGTAAAAATTTTCCTTTTCTAAGATGTAGACTAAATGTTTTATCTCATAGCTAGCATATATTTCTGTATTATATTATTATCCTTCGTTATATGCAAGTTGAAATTTACATCATTATTTAAGGCATGCCTTCTTCAGCCACACTTTTGAAACTGTTAAACATTTCAAACTGTTTTCAAATGTTTTAAGTTTGAAGTAATGGAAGTATACATAGTCAAGTTTTGTTCTTGATATTAAACATTGTGATCGTTCTGAGAAAATCCTGCCTTTGATTTATTTTTCTTTCTTTCTCTCCTTAATCTACGCGTATATGCATATTCCTATATTAAAAAACTATCGCACTTACTTTAAAAACTATTTATATATTTCAGTGTGAAAGTTCTTTTTAAAAGATTTACCTCTTTCCTATAGAAATATTAGGTAAGAAAATTATACAAACTTCTTGAAGAAAATTATCTGTTCTTCTAGAACAACATTTTAAAAGAAGCAATCACATTTGAGCTATACAGCATCTTTGTTATACTGATGATATTTTTCCTAAAATATTATTTTTTATTTCTAGGTTCTCATAATTCCCATATAAAAGGTTCTCATAATTCTCACATAATCAAAATGACACGTAAAATTAATTGCTGCTGTAATAATATTCATAAAAATCAGAAGGTAATTTTATCAAATATAAGTCTACTATCATATAAGTAGAACTTATACTATAATATTCAAATAAAATATAATATTTATTCAATTTGAGGGGAGATTTATTTGATCTCATAAACCTTTTTAATCTGCATCTGTTCATAAATATAATTGCTTTGGTATTAAAAATGAATTTATGGTTAGGAATGTAGCTCAGTGATACATACAGCATTTGCCTAGGATATGTGAGGTTCTGGGTTCAAACCCATAAGTGCCAAAGCAAAAAATCAATTTAAAAAATAAATGCATTTCAGAGACTAAGAAAGAGCACAACATGAAAAAGGCATCCTTCTATGGAAAACTGCTTTGCATATTATTAAAAGTGTAATGTGCTTTAAATCCCAAGAGTCTGACATTTAAAACAGTTCCTCCTCAGTCTTTTTCCCATTTCTCTAGAGTTAAGATCAAAAGGATATCCATGTATTAGTACTGAACCTGTCATGACAGGAAATGTACTGCTAAAGTTTATGACCATGAATGAAAAGTCAAACACAAGTCAAGAGTTCTTTCTCCACACAGCATAAAACTGGCTTAAAGAATTATTGTAAAATGGAACAATATAAATAGAAATTTTTTCTAATAATTAAGAAATGCAATGATTTGAGCATGAGTAGTTTCAAAAGTCCATGTGTTAAAAGTCTTGGTCCACATGATGTGGGACTGAGGGGCCCAATGGACCTTTAATAAACATTTTCTATTTATAAGTTAATTTCCGCAAGTATTTCATTGTACTGACTTCAAGCTGACAAATATAATAATCATTAAATAATACAAAAACATAATGATTTCTTTTTTTCTATATGATAGAATTCTCAAGAATTACTTGCCAAATTTTTTTCCAAAGTCAAAGATCATTTTTTAAATTTGTTATTCTACTTCTAATTTAATCTTTTGAAAAGAATAAAACAATTCAAATGTAAGTGTATCTCTACTTTATAATTTTCTTTTTACAATATATCAAATGTTGTCCTTTCATTATGAGCTGGGAAAAGTTGGTTTCAAATTAATTCACAATCAATCTGAATGAGATCTTACCTCCAAATTTGTCGTTTTTCCTTCTCAGCCATTTCTCTACCGTCTCTGTACTAACACTTTCAGAAACAAACTCATCTAACACTTGGGGGTGAAGAGATAGGTATGCTTTCACCTTTTCATCTGTCAAACCTGTAAAAAAATCGAAAAGAATAAATTTATTTATGTGACATGTTGGTGTACCTAAAATCATGACACATTGTACTAAGACCCAATAACCTCTTACCCGCCAGAGGGAGCTAGAATGGGGAGGTTTTTCTTGATGAGTACACGGTTCCCATTTGGCATTAAGGCAAAGGTTTGGATGGCACTGGACTACAGATTTGAAATAGTTAAGATAACGTTTTCTATTACACACACTTTCCCACAATAATAAAAAAAAGAAATCTAGGGGTCAAAATTTTAGCAATTTTAACTGGTCAATTATCACACATCACATTGCACAGATGTTTTCTAACAGCAAATCTGGGAGCTATATATGAACTAATGTTGCAGTCTAGTTTGTGAACTACGCCTTAAAAATACTTGTTTTATGATATGTAGTTATCATAGAGTCACTAGCAAAAAAGCAAATGATCAAAAAGATACCATATATTACTACTGAAAGTGTCAGGATGGGAAATGCGCTGCTAATATTATGGTCATGAATGAACAATAGAATTAAACAGAACATGGCACCTGGCCATAATAGGTACTAAAGGGTGTTTAATGAATAAACAAAGTAATTCATATATTTTTGCCTCAATACACAAATAACTTCTTTTGCTCAGGACTACTAAACCAAATAGTATAAATAACATTCTGATCAGAACAAATTGGGCATTTTTTATTGCTATTATATTTATGTAGTCAATTACACTAAAATAATATTCAATCTAATGATAACTGGAAAATATACTTAAGATTTTCAAAGTAATTCTACCTATTATCATATTGAACATATAAAAGTATGCTTTTAAATTAAAAATACTGAACATAAGTGAGATACAAATAACTTTCTCGGTGATGATATTTTTTTTACTGTATATTCTCTGTAAATAATTTCAGTAAATTATTTTTAGGGATGGTTAGGTGGTAAAGGCTACGGGAAATTGTACTTTGAGACATATAAAAGGAAAGGAAGCAAAAATTTATGACTCTAGACAGTAGTCTGTATGTTTTATCAAATCAGCAAAGCGTTGAACTCATATGTGTTAATTAATTCTGCTAGAAACTAAACTCACAACTGTTAGTAATCTACAACAGACCAGTATAACTGAGAGGGCAAATGATTTATTTTAATGACATTAGTATTTAATCAGTTTCAACATACACACACTTCCCGTATTACAGAAAAGAAAAATGGCACCCATATATATTTACTCAGGGCAGAAGAACTCTGATGGTGTAAGATTCAGTTTGAGAAATTCCACAAAATGCTATATACAAGAGACTCATTGAAGAAAGAATGAGTTTGCATTATCTAGTTCCTAGATACAAAAGGCACAGGATGTGGAAGTAAACTAATACCAAGCCTGATCTTTAAGAAGACGATATAAATTTTGAATTCTTGTGATTATGTTCTATACTGTGGAACACATTTCACACTTGACTTGCTAAAACACTGCCTTACGGTCCTTGTCTTACTTCCTAATTGTTCCAGATTTCTGCTTTCTAGACAACAACCCATGATGAAGACACAAAACTTGTCTGAAATCTTACTATGTTTTATCTTCAGGCCTTGGACATTCTTTGTCACCTCAAGATGAGACATGAGACTCAAAAATAAAGGCGACATCCTCTCAGAGATTTTAACTCTCAAATTTCCTTTCACTACTATGTTTCTTTGCAAACCCAGGTTGAAAATACAAAATCATAACTGACTCATATCTCCTTGCCATTCCATTTCATTTCAATACATTATCATGCATGTTTACTAGCTAAATTACAGTACACATCATCTGAAGAACTTGCATTTGACATAGACAGTGAACACTTAAAATTCAGCAATAAGGAAACAAAAAATGGGCCAAAGAGTGGAACACATATGCCAAAGAAAATGTAGATACGGAAAATAAACATTAAAGATATTTGTCACTAGTGAAATGACATTAATACAAAAGTGAGATTTTTCCACATACTACAATGACTAATGGCCAAAAAAGTAGACAGATAAATTACTGGCATGAATGTAGAGCCAAAATTCTCATTTGCTGCTGGTAATGAAAAATGGAACAATTGTTTTGGAAGATAAATTCTTGGTTTATTACGAAGTTGAGTGGATTATTTCTGTGTGACCCAATGATCATACAGTACTTTATAATACTTGGTATTTACCAAACCGACATGAAGAGTCATGTCCATGGGATAAATGTTTTAAGGGTAGCTTTATTTATAATCATTCCAAATTTAGACTCATTCAAATTGTTCTTCTATAGGCTACTACACAGACAAACTATAATACAGCTATATAACTAAATATTATTTAGTAATAAAAATAAATGAGCTAACAATCCATGAAAAGACTTGATGAGCTTTGGGTCTGGTTTTGTTTTGAGTTTGTGGTAGATTAACTAATGGTCAGCTTGTAACACATAGCTAAACTGAATCAGCATGGTTCTGGGTGTGGAACACCAAACTGAGGATTACTGCCAACAGCATTAAGATAGAACTAGAGAGGAAGATGGTGTGCTGTTAAGTCTCCTGAAGAAGCTTGTCATGCTGGTTGTCCTGATAAGAACTCAGCAGTTCTCATCATCAGAGGAGCTCAGGCCCTTGCTCTCACTGAGGAGAGCTGCAGTTCTCTTCGAGGGTACTCAGGTCCTTACCTTGAGCATCGCTTCCTGGCTCTACTGTAGATCCGGGTAGATCCGGGTAGATCCAGATCTACAGTAAAGCCAGGAAGCGATGCTCAAGGTAAGGACCGGAGTCAAACATAGTAAGATTCCAGCCTGCTGACACAGATCCTTCATCCTATTGGACCAGACTTTCTAGATTTGACCTTTGGGCCTTCTGGTATAAATCCTTGATACAGACTTGAATGAGACACTGTCATAGGCTCTAGGCCTCCAGCTGGACTCACAGAGGTCATCGCCATGGGCTTTAGGTCTTCAGGCAGTACAGTGCCATGGGATTTAGGCCCTCAACTAGATTCCTTGGGTCTCTACTGCATAGACAGATCTCTTGTACTATTCTGCATTTGACTTTTTGGATGAATATCATAAAATAATACTATTAATTATGTGGCCTGTGTACAACAGAGCTAGAGATGAAACCTAGGACCTCATGTATATCAGACAAAAACTCTACCAAATGAATCACATGCCTACCTCTGACATGAATGTCTTAAATGTGTATTATTCAGAAAAATAAGCAGCTGTCAAGGCTATGTACTATATAATTCTAATTCTACAACATTCTATAAAAGGTAGCTATAAACAATAGGAAGACCAGTACTTGACAAGGAGAAAGAAAAAAGTTGGAATGAGAAGCACAGGCAATTCTAGGATGACAAAGCTATTATATATAATACTGCAATGGTTAATAAATGACATTGCATTTGGCAAAACTCAAAAATATTCAGCATAAAAGTAAACTTAAATACATACAAATTTAAAACTTCTGAATGTCAGACTTGAAAGTCATGTTACAAAAACAAAACTAAACCTATTACAAATTTGAAAAAAGTCTTACTGAATGGGATAGGGGATAAGTCGCTTACCTACATTATTTTGGAAATAAGTGAAATCTATTAAACCAAATGAAAAAGAAGATGTAAATAAGCTTTGTACTTTAGTTGAAAAAGTTGTCAAACTAGAGGGATAGAGTTAATTCTTACACCTCCACAAACTGAAATTGGACAATAAATAAAATAAATAAGTGGTAAATGTTGGTAACAAGATTAGTCAGTACTACAGTGGGGTGCTACTGATAAACCAATGGAGAAAATCCATGTGGTAATGGGTTACAATTACAGTTCTCAACATGAACTCACATTTAACTTAATATAGATGCAGATTTTTACAATATAAGAATATTAGAAAATATATATAGAAACTCAATTAATATACATTCTGTATCTTGCTGTTAACTGAGAGGACCTAGAAGCAACAATATCCAAATACCAAGAAGCACATGCAGTTTGCAGATTGTGGTTTCTAATTCAGGCAGAATATCCCTTATCCAAACTGTTCGAGATGAGAAGTGGTTCAGATTTCAAATCTTTTCAGATTGTGCTTTATTTGCACATACGTAATAAGATGTGTTAGAAATGACACTCATGTCTAAAGAAGAAACTCATGTTTTATATGTATCTTAAACACATTTTCAGCCTAAACACAATTTTTACAATATTTTAATGTGTCTGCGTTTTCAATACAATCCATTACAAGAAGTCAAATATGAAATTTTGCACTTATGGAACAAGTCAGATTTTGAAGTTTCAGATTTCAGATGTTTAGATTAGCAATGCCTAATCTGCACTATTCTTAAATAAAATGATCCATGGAGAAAAGGAAAAAATATGTTAAGATAAATTCAAAGTGGCCAAAGATTAAAAACTTTTCACCATTAATCCATATATACATCATATGGATAGGCTAATAGATAACTATTCTGAAGTAACAAGCATATTTGAACCTACACATTTAAAAATATTTCATTTTGCTAATAAGCTAATTTCATCTATGAAAAATTTTTCCAGAGCAAACAGATAAGACTAATTAAACTGATTTTCATTTTCCACATCTGGCAGGGATGCTAATGAGCAGGAGATGGTTTGAAATCATAACTGAGAGAAGGAAAGCACCAGGGTATTGGCAGACTGATCAGACCAAGTTAGAAGAGCTGAGTACATTTTATTCATTTTCACAACACAGTTAAGTGCCTACTGAAAATGGCATAAAGGACTTACAAGCTAAGAAAGATAAAGGCTGAAAAGCACAATAACATATACATATATATATATATATAATAGGTGTAAATAAGGTGGTATAAAAATATATACCACAAAATCATGATAAAAGATTGGTAAGTATTTTAGTAATACCAATTGCTTTTATAGCTAGCAATTCAGCTGGCAACCTGAAGCCTAGATAATAATAACTTTATCAGAACGCACATAACTTACTTAAAGAAAAACAGATTGGCAGGCA